TGAGTTCCTTCTCCATAGTGCTAACTCTTCGTCGTAGCACAACCAACTCACTTTCGGCCTGCAGATGCAGTAGTAAAAAATACAGATAATTTATGTCTTGAATTTGCGGTTTTCTCATCACATCAAACGGGCGGATACATCTGAGCTGCTTTCAACAAATCTTCGGAAACCTAACCTCAGCTAATGCATTCTGCTTCTCCTGCAATGTTCCAACAAGTTCAGCATTTTGACCATATTTCTTCTCTAACTCGGCTCGAACAGCTTCTGCAAATCACAACTAATAGTTGTCACGTCATTTTTCCACAGTGCGGAATAACGCTCGCCTTCATTCTTATTTCTTTTCTGTGCATTCTCCTGTAAAACAGCATTCGACACTTCTAGATTGGAAATGGTTTTCTTCAAAGATTCAGTTTCCTGAATGCAAACGATTGTGTACATTCAACAGCAGAAAGATATTCAAATCGATCAAGATTGCTCGAAAAGCTACGCAATAGCAGCAGGACGAGAAACATGTTGAAACTGTGATTAAAATCATATATTACCTGCACGTACTGCTCTTTCAGCCTTCCCACGTCTCTCTCCAAACGTCGGCATCTTTCGTCCGACAATTTCAGCTTATCGTATAAATCAGTGTTAATTTTCTTAGTGTCTGCTAATTGTTGTTGAACTATTCGCAGCGAATCTTCCCTTTCTACAATCTAAACAATTGCTGAAAGTACGCGTTCACGTCTTTCCTGTAGATAACTCTCAGAAAAGATTTTGACGTTTCGTGGATCGCGATATCCACTCACTTGCCCAAGCAGTCGCTCCCGCTCCTCTCCCCATTCCTTTTCTTTGCTTCCTGATGGGTGTCCATTTTCGACATTATCGATGTTTTTGAAAGAAACAAGCTGAAAACAGCTTAAGAGTGAAAACAGAAGAAAGTGCACTAGTTGCAACTCCCATTAGAACAATAGTGACGTAGAGAAGTCAGATGACGACAACAGATAAATTTGAAATGAAAGACGTCTTCGTCTGGATACCTACCTCCACTGAAGTAAATCTTGAGAGTTTTGAAAAGGAAACTTAAAGTGGCCTTAAGATGGTTTTCTTAGATGCATGTTAAAAGGTGGAAAAAAAGACATTCGATGCCCAACAAAAGAACGAAAGTGACACTCATCAAAGAAAAAAGGTCCTTAAAAAAACCATTATAAAGATCAAAGTTTCACCTAGCACAGAACCATTCGTACAAGTAAAGAATGCGCAAAGAGGTAATATATATACAAACACAAAATTAC